TTTATAGGGACTCTAGTGCTTGTGTCAGGATCAACGGGGTCTACTCGGACTGGTTTGGCATTCATAAAGGTGTCAGACAGGGATGTGTGGCTTCCCCGTGGCTGTTTAACTTATTTATGGACAGTTGTTTGCAAACTTTGAAAGTTGAAGAATGTGGGTTGAGAATGGGTGAGTCAACCGTCAAATGCCTTTTGTACGCCGATGATCAAGTCATATTTGCATCGTCGGCGGCCGAGTTGCAAATGATGGTTACTTTAATGAATTGGTCATTGAAAGAAAGGGGTATGAAAGTGAATGCAAGTAAGACGAAAGTGATGGTTTTTGAAAGAGAAAAAAGTAAAACTTTATGTGAAATAAGAATAGAAGGGGAGTTGATTGAGCAAGTGGATGAGTTTGTATATTTGGGATGTTTATTTAGCAGGGATGGTAGATATGATAAGGATATAGAACGACGAGTGAACGCAGGAAATAGAGTGAATGGGGCTCTACACGCTATTATGAGGAGTCAGAATGTGTCAACTAAGGCACGTATGGCAATTCATAATGCTGTGTTAGTCCCTACTTTAATGTATGGTAGTGAAAGTTGGGTCTGGCAGAAGAAGCATGAGAGTAGAATAAATGCTGTAGAAATGCGTTCCTTAAGGAGTATGCTAGGGCTGAATCTGAATGACAGGGTGAGAAATAGTGTGATAAGAGAAAAGTGTGATTTGCAAGATGACGTTGTGACAAGGATTAAGAAAGGAATGCTTCGGTGGTTTGGTCATGTAGAAAGAATGAACGAGGAAAGAGTGACAAAGCAAATTTATGTTGCGGAAGTGAACTGCAGGGTCGGGAAGGGATGCCCTAGACGAAGGTTTATCGACCAAATCGGCGATACATTAAAAATGGGCCAGATTAGGAGTACCCATAACCGACGAGCGTGTATGCGTAGATATATGGATGTAAAAGAGGCGAGAGAGGTGTGTCAGGATCGCGCCAAATGGAAGTCCGTAGTCTCTGCCTACCCCTCTGGGTGACAGGCGTGAGTGTTTATGTATGTATGTATGTTATATGTATATTATGATTGCTATAGACGATTTCATGCGACAAAACGTTGAAGTCTTGATTTTTAAGCGCTAGTAGAACATACCTATGTGCTTTGCGCTTACGGCATGCAATATGATTGCACAGATATAATTAATCATATTAGTTACTCCGTACCACCTCGCGCACGTATGCGTTCTTTGCGTCCTCACTCACTCTTTGCTGTGCCAAGATCTCGAACAAACTCCGGTATGCGATCGCCCCTTCATCGTATGGTTGACACATAGACACATACAACAAAAATTTAGTTCGGTAGATTTATTTTCTTGAAGTACCAGATCATACAATAGACAGATAGTTAACTTGCTGTTAAACACCTAATGTGTCTTTTAAAGTCTTGAACACATTAACTACTAACACTAACTATAAATGATCTAATCAATGACGATATATGTGCATGTACACACACACACACACACACACACACACACACACACACACACACACACGCGCGCGCGCATGCGGGCTCGCGAGCGCGTGAGCGAGCACACATGCTGACACACTATCACACAAAACTCTAACCTCTAATACAAGTTAAAATATTTTTGTGAAAATTAAGGTACTTTTTTACAAAATTAGGTCCCTCACATAATTATTCTATATTTTATACTCTGTGTGACGTTGAGTTTATGATAAGTTGATAAGTAAGAAATTGTCATAGAACATAAGCTTTAGAATAAGATAATTATATTGTAAACTTGTTTGTGGTCTATTTTTTTTAATCTCTTTATCTATCATGTGGGAAGCCATGGAATGTAAATGGCAGTTTAATTTTGTTTTGTTTAGTTATAATTAATTTTTTCGGCTGAGAAATCCCAAAATTTTCGGTGTTTTGAGCAGCCTTGTAATAATTTATATTACATGTATATATATGAGTGGGTGAGGCAGTCTATAATATATAGACTGCCTCGCCCACTCACTTTGGGCTCAGCCGCCGCGCTGTCGTGAGTAGATACTGTATCGGTTGTTTGCAGCGGCTCGTGCTCAAAAAGATCGCTGTACAAATACAAAATATTAGAAAAACCAAATTTGATACATAGGTATTTGATTATTATTATAATCACAGATTTTTATTACAATATTTTAAAAGCACTGAATAAATAATAGTACTAAGTACTAAAAGTAAGTAGGATTTATCTATAAATATACTTAAATACGTTTTGGACTTTCTGGAGTGATCTGAATGATGATATGATGATCATATGAGCATCATGAGTTGTGCACTTTTAAATTTTCCAAACTAGTTTTAAATTTTGGGTTGACATAAAATTATCGGAAAATTTAAAGTATAATAATAAGGTTATTAGTGAAAACTTGTGTGTATTTAAAAAACTTTAAAAAATTACGTAAAATCATGTTATTCTTAATTTTTTAATGCGCTTAAGGTATGCACAATTGGATTTACCAATAGTTTTTTTATTCATTTTAAGCATAGAATTATTACGCATAGAAACGCAGTCCAGTACAAAACACGAGCGTTAAAATGATGCAGTCATTATGTTAGTGGGCGCGAGTCGAATGTGCCTACGCTCGTCACACGCACACATACACGCCATTCAGTGATACCAGTTTCTGGCGTTTGCAATCAAATTGTGCAAATCACTATTTTTTGATTAATTTTAAAAAATCGATATAATAAAGATTACGTATTACGTACGAAGATTATTTAGTAGAAGTATTTTATGTGAATATAAAATGGAATAAAATAAACACGATAACGATGTTACTAATATAACTTTATTATACATATATTAATGGTAAAAAATGCAGACGTAATAAAATTTAAGAATGTTATTAAACACAATTAATTTGCTCGAATACAATAAGCACATCGTGTTAAGGGGAGGAGGTTATCAATTTGGTGTATTTTTTAATGTTTTTTACCTCGGAATTCTACAATTTCTAAACCTATTTATATTTTTTTTTTTGAAAGGATATACACACAGGTTGATCCAATACACACGCTAAAATTTTAATGGTTGTTTACCCGAAGTATAATGATTTTTCCTTAGTAGTACAATAGAATAGATGTAAAAATGGCTGATTTACAATCGACAAAAACAATACTCGAATGCGATCTCAAACCAATAGCAATATCTCGCAAGTAGGTCGGGCGTACAGGCTAGCTTATACCGATTACTATAATAAAGTCTGAAAAAAAATTCGCTGGACGTAATGTAGTGTTACGTCTATCGCACGTGCTACCGCGCGCTTCCTACACAGTGAAGGACCACTAATAAATGTTCATAACATGAACTCTCAAGCGTAGTGATACGACGTAAACTACTTTGGACGCCCGGATAGCTTGTGAGGTATTACTATAGTAAATCTGCCCTTTTTTAATTGTAATATTTTTTTATTTAATAAATTGACTCTACTATCGAGACAGTATAATTTGGCTGCGGGACAACAACCACTAAAATTTCAGCATGTATATACGAATTGATCAAGCTTAGAAATCAGTGGACATACATATTGATAACCTTTCTTTTTGGGAGTCGATTAAAATAGGCTATGTTTGGGTCTAACGTAACATCTGGTTAATGTTTGGGTGTAAAGTGACATCTGGTTAGTAAAGGCGTTCTTATTAATAATCTCATGATGTTGTAAATAAAAAAGTTTTTATTCTATACTCTAAAATGTAACTTTAGTCAATAAAAAAGTAATTAAAATAAAATAGTCGCGTTAAAATGGCGTCGACGAATCGCGATTAACTAATCATTCCGTATTAGTTTTAAATAGGCACCCATTGTTAATATAATGTTAACACTTAGAGAAGTAGGCATCTATATATAAACATTTGAGTTTTACACAGAGCGTTGCGATTAAACATTTTAAACACAAATAGAAAATAAATATTTTTAAAAGAAAATTGTGATTTTTCCCCACAACTAGCAACATTTGTATTATGAGAGCTTAGGTAAGTATTTTTTTAGTTTTACGTACTTATAATGAAGTAAATGTATAAACTTATATGTAAAATGTAATACCATTACTTCTTTTATGTTTATCATCACCGTTGTGACAATATTTTACAACACAAACGGTAATTTTTACAATTTTTCGCGAGCTCTTCTCCGTAGGACGTGACGTTGCGCACTGACGCGTCGCTGAGTCAACTTACACGGTTTCGAGTTAGTTTTACTTGCTTCACTTTCGGTGCGCGTACTAGTATTCTATAAGTAATAATTCTATGATTTTAAGTTAATATTTGAATAAAATATTGGGATCTTAAGTCCCCTTTTGTAATTATAATAAATCGCGTTGCACCTCTCGTAAAGAAAAATTACTCATAGCTTGGGTGTAGGGGAATGTGCCAATTTCTTACCTCTTATGAGATAAAATGGGCATGGCTTTATTCTTTATTAACGCATACAACTCCAGAGTGGGAAATGGATCTCTTCCGTTGTAGGAAGTATTTGCTTTAATCATAACGCTTATAACGAAAGTCTAGCGGTGACCGTTACTGCGCATGAGTCGCGCTGATTGGGTTATTGCGCATAAGTCGCGCTGATTGGTTCATACGTATTGTTCGCACACACTGATTGGCTCCAGTCACATTTGTGCAATTCCTCCTTCCTCCACGTTTTGTTCAGCGCTAGACTTAAGTGCTGCGACTTGTACTATGCGGACTGACGATCGCCGAGAGATCTCGCAACTTGACGCTACTTTCTATCGTCAGTCTGGATATTTTATTTTATTACGTTAACTCAGTAACTTTATTTTACTTCTAACCAAATAAATATTAGAAAAAAAAAACACTCTTAAAGTTGTCGATTTTTATTTATAAAAGTTAAAAATCACGTTCACGTTTAAATTAAGGTACAAAATTGACAAAATATACAAACTATTTATGTGATGTCATTTGGCTTAAGCTAATCATAATTCATAATGTTATCTAGTCTTAAATTTTTGTTTCATTTGTCTTTTAATTTTGTCTGTGATTTACCTGTAAATAAAAGGTAACATTAATTAGCAAATTGAAAATATTATTAATATACATTAACTGCCTTACTAATAAAAATCGATGTCGATTTAAGAAACCCTTAAAGTTGTTCTCTCTCTTGTCACTAAATAAAAATAGAAAGAGATAGATATAGAGATAATTAATACTTAATTTAAGTAAGCGGTCATCATTATCATCATTACAGCCCTTCACAAGTCCACTGCTGAACATAGGACTTCTGAGCCACCTGCATCAATGGACTTCCTGCATGTCGTACCAGGACGTAACTCCATTTAGTGGAGGGCCGCCTACACTTCGCCTACCGGTACGAGATGCCACTCGAGAACCTCTTTCCCATCGGCATCATTTGTCGCTCCTTCGAGCTATACGGCCGACCCATTACCACTTCAGCTTACTAATCCGTTCGGCTATGTCGGTTACTCTGGTTCTACTGCGGATATCCTCGTTTCTAAGATTATCGCGAAGAGAAACCCCAAGCATAGCCCTCTCCATTGTTACGAGCTTAGCTCGCGCTGAGCCATCTTGAGCTTCCTCATACGCCCTGCAGTGAAGGACCACGTCTCAGATTCATAGGTCATCACTGACAACACGCACTAATTGTACAATCTTGTGTTGAAGTTTTGAGGTATGGCTGACAAGAAAATGTGTTGTGATCTTCCGAACGCTGCACAGCCGAGTTCAATCCGTCGATTGACCTCTCGGCATAGTTGTGACATGGACGTTACATATGACTTTTGTTTTGTCCATGTTCATCTTAAGACCTATCCGTTGGGAGATACTACTGAGGTCATTTGATTATAAAAAAGGCCTTAAATTATCAAAAAATATTTTAAAATATGGTGTTCGTAAGTGATCATGTGGTCCGGCGTTGAACAAAATCGGTCATTGTGTAAAGAAAATCAGTTTTTTGTCAAGAAATTCACAGTAGTAACCAGGAATCAAATAACACATTAAATTATTCTGACTACAAAGCCACGCGTTTCCCATCAAACAAGAAGTTCGAAATAGCTCAATAATGATCATCAATTGAAGGTATAGTACTTACCGAAATATATTCTATATACTTGATTGAAGGGCATCTCGATTGCGACAGTAGCGAGAATGGATATCACCAGTACGGTAATCATCTCTGGTATATGCAACTGAAATATAGTCAGGTATTACTCAGCCAATTAGGAATTAGGCAAGTTAGGTTATTTGTGGGGTGACAAATGTAATATCTTAGCTATTTCATCATTCATCAATCCGTCTCGACGTAGATTTGCAAAAGACGACAAAGAGAAATGGCATGTAGCCATGGAAACTCAGAGACCGGGCAGATTATAACAACATGTTGTTTTAAAAAAGAAATACCCGAAATATATCATATTATCCAGTCATTTATGTATATATTTTTTGTCGATAAAATTAAAATAGAATTTGCCATTAAATCAATTCTTCATTTCGAGTTTTTTCATTCGAAATATTTATTCCCTATTATATATAGCTATGTAGCTATGGCGAATGCTTTTTATTAGGTATATTGTGATCTCGCCTGTTACACGTTGATACAAAGGAACTCATCCTCCCAGTCTCTTGTTTTATTAAGTTTCTTGCACACAACAACATGTTAATCTCGAAGCATGTCTACATTCTTACGCCACAACGTCACAAATATATCATCATTATGATCATCTAAAACTGTTTACTCATGTACCCGTGTAATGGTGGTGTCAGTTATCTGGGGTAGCCCCCCATATCATCCCGTGGGTGTCGTAAGAGGCGACAGGGGAGATGGACAGCAAGGTCTTCCTAATAATGACTAAACATAAAAAACTGCGGTTGCCAACCCGCTTGCGAAGCGTGGCAACTATGGCAAATATCCCTCCTATGAGGCAATCTATAAGGTAAACATATGTTCAGCAGTGGACTTTAACAGTCCTGGCATCATGTAACTGGTTGTGCAGAACTCATTAAAATGTTCGAGGAGGGCGATGACTGCCATATGCGTCATACTTGTGAACAGGTAACAGGTTGGGACTGGTATGCTCGATCAATTTTATTTAAAAAGAAACATGCTTTGATTATCTACGGGTCTATTCCTTATAATTTATGATTAGGAATATTGTACCGTTCGCCTTTGAAAACATGATAGCAAAAACGAAAATACTTCCGGAATTTCTTTCGCCGTTTCTTCCTCGGTCAGAGGAAACTCATTTTGAAACATACTTTTAATCTACTAGATAAAAACATGTCGACGTTTGACAAACGATATATTAATTTCTTACTAAACGTCGTAACATAAATAGTTTTCATATTTCAATAATTATAATAATAAATTAAATTTATAATAATAAATAATATACTATATTATGCAGTCATATATCTATAGATAGCTTATAGCTATAAAGCTATTGCGGCTGTTTACTATCAGGTGGGCTATGACTTCGCTTGTCCCACGATCACACTATAGAAAAATGATCACTCGATAGAAATATGGTTGACTAAATATAATAATTTCATATGGGATGTTTTGTACGTATTTACGCATGTGTCAAATAAAATAATATTTTACTTACAAGTAGCAGAGGCGTGTAGAATTCAGCGTGCCTCTGTACGCCGACATTATAGAAGAAAATTGGGAATTGAGTCAGGTAGACCCCGTACGCGATCTTGTTGAAGAATTTAAACGCTCGCCATTCCACGATCGTTGTGCCAACACCTGTAGAAATTTACGTCAATACAGCGTAACTACGCATGAAAGGAATCTTATTTAGATATAAAAATATATTGAAGCACAATTTATTTTATCCTCCTCCTTTCTCTACGCTCATTTTTGTATTATTCAGTTTCATGATTCGTTTCACACAAGTGTTCTTTTCAGGAATAATAATTATTTCTTAATTTAATAATATGTAAAATCATCATCATTATTACAGCCCTTCACAAGTCCACTGAACATAGGCCGCTCCTAAGGAATGCCACAAAGCACGGTCCTGTGCCACCAGTCTTATCAGGTCGTCACTTCATCTAGTAGGGGGCGGCCCACACTTCATCTACCGATCCGAGGCTGTCACTCAAGAACCTTTCTTCCCATCGATTGTCGGAACGCTGGAATCCGTCGATTGATCTCTCGTTCGAAGTTGGACTTACCCAGTCGGACTATTCGTCCCAGGTAAACATACCCGTCAACAACTTCGAGCTTAGAGCTAATGTTGTACTAGTGTTACGAGTATATAATATGTAATTCGTAAATTATTTTCGTACAACTGTTTTTTAATCTCACTCGCTACCGGTTTTAGTTTATCCTATTTTTTAATACAAAAACAATTGTAACAAAAATTATATCTACCGCCTTCATACATCCCACTGCTGGGTACGGTTTTGCTAAACGTAGAAGGTTTTAAGACAGAGAAGAGGCCGATACGCTACCTCAGTAAAGGCGGACAACATAATATTATTATGTCCTCAAAATTTTTTTTTAATTGGTCAGATATGCGACATTCTCCTCGACGATCTTCTTTACCGCCGTGTACGTAGTGAATCAGTAATTAACAATTTCATCGATCAGAATTGGTTTACTCAGACATATAAGTATCTACAATTGAATTTTAAGGCTAGTTAGTTTAATACAAAAATATTATTTCGATAATAATACAATAAATCTGTTATATTTTTGTAGTATAGAACAGCTGATTGTCTATCCATAGGGCTTAGCATAGCATAGCTTTATAACTATTTAGTATTGATGTCAAAAGTTGTAACATTTTTCCTGGAACGTTCCATTTTTCATAGGCTTTATTGCGCGTCCCATCGATACTATATCGGTTCGCTAGAGATTCAACTTTTGTTTGTGATCAAATGTTTAGATTGTTTTTTATTGTTGGAATTTTTTGTACAATAATATATTGTGATGAAAAAAACCTATTATGTGTTTTAATAATATAACGATAAAAAGAGATGGCATGATTAAAATTGTATTGATGGATTATTTATTATATTAAAAACAAATACCCCTTTGAAAGCATTTTGTATCCCGGAATTAGTTTTCTATTAATCTTGTAATAAAATAAAATTGTTGATTCGCGCTTTTGTTTTTAAACATTGGGGTGTGATTACAAAAACTCACATAATCAAGATTTTGGCGGCAGAAAATTAAAGATTTCAGGCCCTGGCATGGTCGTGTTGATATTCTAGCTAAATGAATTAATATTAAGCTTTTGTGTGTTTATGTATTATTTTACGAATAAAATTTAGATATTACTAGGTAGTGGGATTCCTTTTCAGCCCAGGAGTTCGCCTGGGTAGGTACTATCTTCTTACCTATATCTGCCGCCAAGCAGCACGGCTTGCACTCCATCGATATATATGTAGTACGCACTAGATTTCGCATTCCGAACATTGTCTAGGTATGTTCAACTGAACTGTACTGCAATTCCTACACTAAACTAAACACTGCGTAAATTGAAGATTTGTGAATTCCATAAGATAATTATTATTAAATTTTATTTAGAAAAATGTTTGTTTAGATTAAACAAAGGATATTTTATATTAATATTATATTTTATATTAAATGCGCATGAGCAAGACAGAGTAGCGCAAAATTTTTGTTTGGAATAGCTGCTCTAGTACGTAGTACATATAACTCAATGTTGCACTCTCATGTTCTGGTCTAAAAGGTATAGAGAGCCAGTATTATTACGGTGGAATTCCATCTTAGTCTTCAGGGGTGACAACGCATCTGTAGCCGTCTTTGTTTGAAGTTGGTCGTGGGTGCTCATGGCCTGCAGTAGCTACTTACTATTAGGTAGGCTGTAAGTTCGTTTGTCACCTCATTTTATAAAATACAAACGTGTGTGTATGTGTATTTATGTACGCACGTAGAAAGTTATACTTCTTTAGCGTAACGAAACAAAAATAACTAAAAATAACTAGCTTAAATATAGTTATCAGTTCCCACGAAAACTTGAGAGACAGTTACCCACTAAAGTTGTCGCTTTGAGGTGTCAGTGTGCGCGCGCATCGTAACAACTTCATGGTGTCGTTTTTAGGTGTAGGTGTGCACGCGTATCGGAAAAATTCACTCTCATCATTTTTCCCAAACACCCCGAAAGAAGTAGAACTTCAAAAATCATTCCCTAATTTCCAGTTCGAAATAAGTCAAGACTTACGGTCTACAAAACCACCCATTCTGTTCTTCTATTTCATATTATAATAATTAACAACAAACCTGCATAATCGTTGCATATAGCCCAATGCGCTATGCACATGGATAATCCCCACAGGATCGGCGAGAAAGCTGCAAACATGGCCGCTGGGAAGTGTTCGTAACGGTAACCTTCGAGGCCCATCTGGTAGGGACTCGCTATAGTGAAGGCTGCTATAATGAAGCACGCGGCCCACAGAAACCGGATCTGAGTCTGAACAGGAAAGTTATATTCGTGAGTTTATTTTCATGCGAACGTTAAAAAATAGTAAATAAGAAACGTTCAATAATATCCGTTCAATAACTGAAGGCTCCGTGGCGCAGTGGCTTAGCAATGAGTTGTTGCGCTGGGGGCCTTGGGTTCGAATCCCGCACGGAGCAAGTATTTGTATGGCCTACAAATAATTGTTCCAGGTCTGGATGTTTGTCCTCGTGCAATTTATATTTGTAAATTGCCTCCACGGTACAGGAGAAAAACCTAGTGTGGGGGTAACACTTAAAAAAAAATTATAAAATTATATCTTACTGCTGGGACAGTTCTCGTTTCTCTCACAACACCAGCGTCAATCTTTACGGAGATTGACACTGCTATAAAAACAAATGTATCAATTGGCATTTAGTTGAACCCCAAAAGAAATTGCAGGTAAAGCCAGTCCATTTATATAAATAAACTAGATTTACAAGGGTGATTTCTGAATCTAGACAACAGTGCCACCTACCGCATCCACCTATAGCTAAAAATCATCTTAGTGACTCCATAAGTATCTGACAAAAAATCAATTCAAAATCAGTCAAGCCGTTTAGGAGGAGAATTATTACGAACATAGGCCCGTCGTAGTTTTATATATATAGCGTGAAAAAATTTAGAGGAACACAAAAAAAGTATGTATAATACAAAATGTCATGGATACTTGTGACACTTAAGTTCTGATTTTGCTTAGTTAATTTAAATTTGCAGATAATTTTTTTTTCATAAATGCTTAAGGAAAGCTATAACGTGGGCAGGCTATAACGTGGGCAGTCTCATTGGAATACTTCTAATCAAGTTATCAATAAAATCTTGAGAGATTGCGTTCCATTCTTACTGTAATGCGTTTTATAAGATCTCTCAAATTAGCGGCAGCAGGATTTCTTTTATTCATTTGTCTTCCAAGTTATCCCGCACATGGGGTTTATGTCGAGCGAGCGCGCTGGCCACTCCAGAGCATTGATTTCAACATCTTGTACATCTATACTTTAATATAATAAAGCGGAAGAGTTTTTTTGTTTTTTTGTTTGTTTAAACGCGCTAATCTCTGGAACTACCAGTCCGATTTGAAAAATTCTTTTTGTATATTATAGCCAAATTCATGTGAAATAGTATAGACTATCTATCATTAAGCTATATTACTCAGCTAGCCTTAAATATGGATATTTGTTAAGCAAGTCAGAAGAAAAAGCACTCCCGAAATGATTTATCCGCGTACGCTGGTGTTATCGTAACGTAAATACAATGTTCTAGAAAAATATAGACCTTTACTCCGTCTAAAAAAAAGTCCGCGATACCATATGTCTATTTCTTATACATAAGCCATAATTTGGTATTTTGTGACAAAACAATATTGAAAATTTAAAAGTGATTTATGAGCGTTATTATTAGGCATGGCCTATTTATCCTCACGAACGAAAGTTACTTCATCATCAAGACAATTTTATGAAGATAAACTTTGTTCTTTATACCATGTTATTTGGACGCATAGTTTAAGAGATAATGTAAAATTAAAATAATTCAATACTTGGCTGGGCGCGCGAACGACGCTTAAACCCTAACCGTTATAAAATGCTTGAACTAGGTCATGTCGCGCACTTCGGACACGTGATGACGCGGGTAAAACCGCGGAGCACAGCTAGTGCAACATAAAGGCACATGCACATTCGTAGACTGTATTATCGACCTCCGATGGGTGATGTCCCTTTCCTTCCACAAGCCACAAAGGAAAAAGTTCCCTAAATCGGGAGATGTGCATATTCACCAGTGGACTTTTACGTGCTGATAAAGAAGAATATTTCCACAACATATTGTATATTAGTTGAAAGTTAGAATAGTTAATAATTTAAAAATTCCATTTTACTTACATTACTAAGGTTCAATCTCAACTTTTTCGATTTCATAACGTATGCCATTGCGACTCCAATAAGATATATCGTAGCGCGATGGGTCGGCAATATATAAGAATATCGGGCCGCGTCCAGCAACTTTTGAACTCTGAAAGGAAATCACATAATACCATCTGGTCAATACAAATTTACCATATTCAGTGTTATGTCAAGAACAAAATATTCAATAAGGTCTCCACGGTTTTCTGTGATTGAATCAAATGAAAATATCATGAATATTTCATTCTTAGAATATTTATAAGTTTAACTAATAAACGATGTGAATAAGCTCATTTCTAGCAGTGGATTCCAGCTGATAAAAAAAGAAAGAAGAAGAGAATTACGATAGTTAAAAATACAATAATGTAAGATTACATGTTTACATGTGTGAGGTAGCACACTTCCTTAAATTAAATATTATTTGTAGCCAATAAAAAGGAGGTTCTTAATTCGACTGTGTGTCCTTTTTTGTGTTTAAATGATATTTTCGCCAGTAGTAAATCGATTTTAATGATTTTTTTTTGTTATTAAATAGTTTGTACTTCAAGGCTTGTATCACAAAAATGTCACAGCTTATTCACTTAATCTGTCAGTAATTATTTGTTGGCAACATTTTATTTTTTTGTGCTAACACCTAAGTGGCAAACGACCACCACAGCCCACCTGATGGTAAGTGGCTACTGCAGCTCATGGAACCTGCACCCAACTTTAAACAAAGAAGACTATAAAGGACCGTCGTCAAGCCTAATTATTAAGGTGAAGTGCTTCATATACTGTAATTATACTAGCTTTCTATACACCCTTAGATCGGAAAGACCGGAAAGAGCCGTGGTAGCTCAGATGGTTGACGCTCGCTGTAAGTTTCACAGGACGCGAGCGACCCAGGTTCGATCCCCACCGGCACCAATGAAATTGTTAATTGCAATTTTAAGTGCTGATTTACCACTTATTCGGCGGTGTAGGGAAACATCGTGAGGGAACCTGTATACCTGAGAAATAAGAAAAAAAATATTTCAAAGACATGTGAAGTTCGCCAACATGCATTGGGCACCGCGGCGGATATTTCCTTCTCCTAAATGCCTCTCAGAAATGAGAGGAGGCCTGTGCCCAACAGTGTAACGTATATAGGCTGTAACTAACTTTCAGACAGTAAAACAGCAGTACACACAATACTGCATGGCGGCATCATTAGGTAAGAAAGAAGGTGGTACCTACCCAGATAGACTTCAATGCAGGAAAGAAGTCTCACCACTTTTTTTATAGAATAAGGTTGACAAACGAGCACACAGTCACCTGATGGTAAGTGAATGATGCCCATAGACATCTATATTTATATTCAATTGAGAATCAAAATGCAGCATGCTTTGTCACCTCTCAGGACTAAGATGGAATACGTAATACAGCAGCATTAATACAGCTGCTATCCTACGCTGGTATTCTGTGAGAGTGTGGTCCCAACCCGGTCGAGCCAAACCATTCATGCTAACCATAATATAGCTGCAGTGTGGCTCTAACACGTGAGAAACACATGAAATCCTAGTGTGGTTGGGGATAAAGTTTATGAAAGATAAATAAAAATATTTTCCCATCTGTGTGGAACAGATGGGATTAAAATACACAATATATTTAAATATTTATGTAATAAATACCTCAGAAAAGGTTCTGCAAAGTTTTAAACCCTAACTGGATCGCTGAACAATCTTAAATGTAATTGTGTTAATACAATTCATTGAGGTGGTAGTAGTCAATTGTTATTTTGGTGAATCCCTTGGAAAATTAGTTTAATTACTTGGAAATGTACGTGCGGGTCGTTTAAATTGACATTGATGAATCGGCTAATTATTAAGTACACAAGTTAAACATTAACTTCTCAATAATATTGATTTTATAAGGCGTGGCCTTTGAGTGTATGGTGTATTTCACAGCGCGAACAGCATAGAAAGTGAATAGTGCGATTTTGGGAAAGAATTTTACGGATTTTTAATGTGTACCTCAAAGGAATGGAATATGCCAGCATCTGTCTTTATATGCGAATAGAAGGGTAAATAGATATTTGTTGAGCTAAGACAATTTAACCATCTTCAGCTGCATCACCACTTGCTATCTGGTGGGATTATGATCAAGCTCTGTTTTTAAATAGTTGAAATGTAATAAATAGTTGTACTTGAAATAGTTTATTAGATGTAATTTGCAAATAATGAAGCTTCAACATAATGAATTCTTCTGGGTATGATGGTTCATCCGGGGTCTATCACATTTGTTACGGGCTTGATCAAAATACATCATCAGAGGAAAGATTCCATTCACTTTACTCGAGGAGATTCTCTCTAACCGTTTAATGTATGGCACTTAAAAATAATAATACTTTATATGACTTTATTTATTTGAAATATAAAAGACTATTTTTGGCAGAATTCTATCAAGAGAAGCCATAATTTAAAAGAAGAAGAAGAAGACTATCTTTATTTTTTTTATAGTTCACACCGGTAAACTGCCAGATTTGGACCTCTCCCATAGTATAGAATAGAACAGAAAAAACTAGAATAAAATAGAATGGCAAAGAATAGAATAGAAAGGAATATAATGAAATAAAATGGAATTGAATAGATGGGAGGAATTGTCATAACTGCTACGTTTTGCTGGCCATGTGGTGGCGGAGGCATAAGGCGTCTCGTGGGTAAAGGTGACTGTGGAAAATAATAGAAATATCTGATCTACTGACTAGGTCTGCTAGATCTAAAATGCCGTCTCTCACCCATGCCCTTAAAATATAAAATTGGTAATATAGTCCTTGAACATGAATTTAAATTTTTTTTTTTTTTTTTTATAGGAGAGGGGGCAAACGAGCATGCGGCTCACCTGATGGTAAGTGACTACCGCCGCCCATGAACAACCGCAACACCAGGGGAATTGCAGATGCGTTGCCGGCCTTTTAAAAAGGAGTAGGCTCTTTTCTTGAAGGTCCCTAAGTCGTATCGGTCCGGAAAAATCGCTGATGGTAATCGATTCCACAAGGAAGTCGTGCGAGGAAGAAAACATCTTCTAAATCGCACAGTGGTGGAACGCCAATCATCCAGATGGTGTGGATGGTATCGGGAGTTCTGCCGCGATGTGCGTTCATGAAATTTGGCGGCTGGGATTAATCCGAACAATTCCTCAGAGCACTCCCCATGGTAGATGCGAAAGAAAATGCAAAGAGATGCAACATCTCTTCGCAGTGCCAATGAATCGAGCCGATCGGAAAGGGCTCGGTCGTCGACGATTCGAGCCGCTCTGCGCTGGATGCGGTCAAGTGGAAGGAGCTGGCACTGGGGAGCCCCTGCCCAGAGATGGGAACAGTATTCCATGTGAGGCCGAACCTGCGCCTTGTAAAGTTGCAGGCGGTGTGCCGGCATGAAATACTGTCCCGCTCTGCTGAGCACGCCAAGCTTTTTAGAGGCCAATTTGGCCTTCTCTTCCAAGTGACCACGAAACTGCACGTCACTCGATATGTCGACTCCGAGGATACCGATACTGGCTGAGGCAAGAAGGGGAGTGCCTTGAAACTGAGGAGATACGACAAAGGGGTTCTTTTTAGCGGTAAACGCGCAAACTTGTGTCTTCTGAGGATTAAACTGGACTAGATTTAGTCGCCCCCAATCCGAGACTTTGTCCAGCAAAGACTCGACTTCAGACACAAGTTTGTTCCGGTACTCGGCGACGTTTTCCCGAGATTAATAAATTTTATCATATTTTTTAAATATCTGTACCCTTGGTATGTGCGTGTGTACAGATTTCTCTCTTTTCAGAACTTGCTACAGTACTATAGTGTTTGTAATTTGTAATATTTTTATCACATTTTATATGGCTTAATTCATTAACAGTTAATTATTTCTTTACGTGGTACAGCCATGCTGCAGCTATATTAGTAGTATAGTTGTAGCACGAATGGGTCGGCTCGACCGGGGAAGGACCGCACTCTCACAGAATACCAGCGTAAAATAGCAGCTTAAAACTGCTGTGTTTCGTATAGTGAGTGTAGAGAACCGGAGACCCTTTTTACTGGAAAAGAGGCATTCCATCTTAGTCCTCCTGGGTGATAACGCATCTGCATTTTGATTCGCAAACGAGGATAGATGTAGATGTCTATGGGCCACAGTAACCACTTACCATCACGTGGATGGTTTGAGTGCTCGTTTGTCACACTATCCTATTAAAAAAAATGTTTTTAAATCTCTGTACCCTTGGCATGTGTGCGTGTACAGATTTTTCTATTTTTAGGACATGCTACATATATTATAGTGTTCGTAATTTGTATATTTTTATTATATATTATAACGCTTAATTCAGTAACAGCTAAAAGGCAAATGTCATATATATATATATATATATATATATATATATATATATATATGTCATTTAATAATAATCATATTGTTATTGTCACATTATAGTGTATAAGTACGCAGTTATTTTATATATGTGAATACAGTTGACTTAATTATACTACTCGAAACAATAAAGAAAAAGTTTGAACTTACGATATTCCGTAATAGACGAACATGCTGATGTCGTACCAGTGAATAGCCATGTATCTGAGGACGGTTGATGCCACAGCGATGCCGACTACAAGGATCCATCCCAGGTTTCTAAACTTCCATAATATTAGCATAAGAGGTAAAGTGGCTACGTATAGCTGCATATCAATACCGATCTGGTGGGTGTGGGTGAGGCACTGAAAGAAATTAAATAAATTTACTTTTGTGCGCAACAATTTATGTGTACACTGGGAAACAGCAGATTCTATAGCATATAGCAGATTCAATCTCGTTCAACATCACCATGTTGAACAAGATGGCCGACAACGGGTCTCCCTGACGTACACCTCGGCCCACTTTAACAGGTGCACTCGACTGCCCGCCGACGTCCAACGTGGTGGTCGCCGTGTCGTAAAGCCGGTGGATGTAATCACAGAATGCCATGGGCAACCCTCGAGCGCGAAAAAGTTCGACCAGCGCTCTATGAGACACTGTGTCGAACGCTTTTGCGAAATCGGCGATGGCCACATGACACTCTCTTAACTTTTTCCTGCTATCTGTTGGTCTTAAAATGTGTTGTAGTCATTATTTATTCTATGATATGTTAGTCTTCGTGTCTTGATGTGGTATATCAGCTTAGTTCTGATGTTATCATGTTACTTCGAGTTCCGGTAAATTACAAAAAAGGAAAAAGAAAAGAAAATAGAATGAGACTATTATTATTTCCCATCATAAAACCATTTTCACATAAATAATAATAACAGAAATTATTCGTCATCGTTCATCATGATCACAACCTATCAAAATCCATGGTTCTACCACGTAAAACCTTTTTACGTGGTAGAGACATGCTGCAGCTATATTAATAATATAGTTGTAGCACGAATGAGTCGGCTCGACCGGGGAAGGACAACGCTCTCATAGAATAACAACGTAAAATAGCAGCTTAATGCTGCTGTGTATTGTATGGTGAGTGTAGAGAACCGGAGACCCATTTTACTGGATAAGATTTTACTCCTCACGGCTGAAAACGCATCTGCATTTTAATTCGCAAACGAAGATAGATGTAGATGTCTATGGGCCACAGCAACCACTTACCATCAGGTGGACTGTGTGCACGTTTGTCACCCTTATTCTATAAAAATATCTATTAACATTTGACATATCTGTCACGCTTGGCTTGCGTCGCTAGGTCCTTTTCTCCTTTTCTGCCGAGGAGTCCGTTTGGGTAGGTAGCACTTTCTTACCTATTTCAGCTGCCATATGGCAGTTATTGCAATACTGTGTTTCGGTTTGCAGGGTATCGTGAGCCAGTATAATAACAGGCTATGAGGTATTCCAACTTAGTCCTCAGGGATGACAATGCACCTGTAGCCTTCTTGATTTGAAGTGGCTGCACGTGTCCATGGACAGCAGTAGCCATCGGGTGGATTGTAAGTTCATTTGTCACTTTAGTTTTATAAAAAACGCGCGTTGGTAACCGACGTTTTTTATTATCTACCGACTTCAAAAAGGAGGAGTGGTGTGTCGTGCTTAGTGTGGTGGTGCTGGGGATGGTAGTGCTGGGATTACGGGCGACGGGTATAGTGCGCGCGATTGAGGGAGGGTGGGAAGTCTGATGTTATAATCATATAAACTGCAGTGTGTCATCTTTCGACGCTATTAAAAAAAATCTCTTCTGAGTTACCACGACTCTACTAACTGGAAATCTAATTCGTCGTAATGCCAACTTATACTTTTTTGAATTTCAAAATTCTTTGAAAATGCAAACTGAATTTACTATTCACATTACCCTGTGTAATCTTCATTAAAAATAAACGCGACGCAAAAACTGCGTGACAGAGCCACATTACACGCTCGCAAAGCAGCTTCTTTAAATATGTAGGTGACACAGTAAATGAGTTATATAAGTACCTTGGGAACAAGGGTGAACTTATCTCGAGCACCATTGTTCCATCGTCTCCCGGGGCCCGTTCCACGACATTCATTGTTACCACTAACCCAATATTGAAACGTCTTACGTACCAGAGGATTCTTGTGATATTTTCGTGTTGATAAACATTTAGAGTGTGATAAATGACAATGAAGCGAGTACAATGGAGCTTTATAATTTTATAATCGTTTGCAATTTTTAGTTGAAACGTTTTTCGCGAAATTAGTTTGGAGTTTCTGTTGTTGCTTTTATGGAATTTTAAGTTATAACTGAGATGATGATTTACTTTCGCCGACACAAAAAGATAGGCATTGATTGATAAGTATGGATGACCAATTAAATTCGAATAAAAAATAGATACTCCTTTCATCAATTTCGAGGTGTTTACACATACAGATTCAACGTATTACTACCCGGTTACTATATTCAAACAAATGTTATTGAGGCGGTTTGAAAAGTTCTCGGCCTAAACGACATTTGAGGGTAGTTTTTAAATAAATTTATACTCATTCGATAACGTGATTCTTTTTTTAATCGTATGTCAAGGGCCATTGAGATAGGTTGCGTAGTTATGTAAAAAGTGAAATAAGCGCTGTGATTAAATATTTAAAAAAAAAAAATTATTTTTTTCCGAGCCACATCAAGAAAGACAAGGATAACACGAGGTGAATCAGCGCTCTCGCTCTCACTTTTTTCAAACAAGGCAGAGAGAGCGTCGAATAAGGCTGGCTTTTCACTATGAGATATAATATATATTATATCCCGTAATATAAATTATATCCCGCGATTGGTTTTCACACTGTGAGATATATATTTTAACTAGTGTGCGTTCGTCATTGGTCATTAGATTACCCCCCTTTACCCTGTACACCGTTCTGCGGGGGCGCGGAATGGTGTGCGGGGTACAGGGGGCGAAATATAGTATGAAAATATCGCTCTGTCGATCGAAAAAATATTTATAGCTTGAGATGTAATATATATTATAGCTCAATGTAAACGGTTATATGAAATGTATGGTGAGCGATATTAATTTATATCTCGAGATGTAATATATATTATATTATACCCCATAGTGAAAAGCGGGCTTTAGACCCAAGAAGCGGAAGGCCGTCGACGTCCATCACGTCAGAAATCATCGAGAAAATCCACAAAATGGTTTTAGAAGACCGAAGATTGAAAGTGCGTGAAATAAGTGATACTATACGGATCTCAACTGAGCGAGTGTTTCATATTTTAACCGACGACTAGGAATGAAAAAAGGTGTCAGCAAGATTGTTGACCTCTGAACAAAAACTGAACTCAACAAAGCGGAAATCTCAAGGGAGAATCTGGCGTCGTTTCGATCAAATACTAGCGACTTTTTAAGAAGATTTATAACTACTGATGAAACTTGGATTCACCTCTATAATCCTGAGATAAAACAACAGCCGTAACGGTAAAAACATAGCAATTCTCCGCAACCGAAGGAAGATAAGTCGTATAAGTCAGCGGGATAAGTGATGGCATCAGAGTTTTGGGATTACAAGGGAATTATTTTTATTGTCAACCTTCCCAAAGAACAGACTATAACAGGCCCATACTATGTTAACCTGTAATTTAAATTAGCCGACAAAATTCGTGAAAAGCGACCGAGATCGGCCAAAAAGAAAATTCTTTTTCATCAGGATAATGCACTGGCGCACAAGTCAGTTGTTGCAATGGCTAAGCGGCATAAATTCCGTTTCGAAGCATTAAACCATTTCCCACATTCGCCTAATTTAGCATCACTGCACCACCTGACTTGGCAGCACTGTTTCCTTTTCCCTAAATTGAAAAAAAAAACACCTGGCTGGGAGAAAGTTTTCCACAAACGAAGAAGTGATAGTTGAGGCGGAGCGATATTTCAAAGAGTTGGAGAAATTGGCCTATAAGAGCGCCATAGAAGCGCTGGAGCATAGATTGAATAAGTGTGTTGAGATTTTCTTTGTTTTCTTAGTCTTGCCGAGAACTTTTCTTACTGCTCTCGTAACAAGTGCTATTCGTTGCCCTGTACAAGTATCGATGTGACATTTTCTACCGACTTCAAAAAGGAGACGGTACTCAATTCGACTGTATGTTTTTTTATGTGTGTTACTTCATAACTTATTACTGGGTGAACCGATTTCGATTATTCTTTTTTTGTTTGAAAGGTGGCACTTTACATGTGGTCCCATATAAATATAATCAAGGTGTGTTAGTTTTTGAGTTATTCTTAATAATCTTTAAAAAATATTTTCGCTCATTTTGTTCTTGTTATAGAATAAGAAAGACACGCGAGCACACAGTTCATATAGATGGTAAGTTGATGCTGCGGTCCATAGATATCTATATCTATCCTCGCTCCTTAAGAATCAAAATGCAAAAGCATTGTCACCACTGACGACCAATATGGAATGCCTCGTTACCAGTAAAAAGGGTCTCCGGTTCTGCACACTCACCATGTGAAACACAGCATTATTTGTAGTTTCACTCTGGTATTTTGTGAGAATTTCATGCGCGCCACACTCTAATATTTCGTTCGTTTGGGTGGTTCATATGTCATAATATCATACTATGGTACAAGGTCAGAACAATGATTTTATGCTCTTTGGATCCGAATTAATACCGACATTCATGCTTTGCTAATTGGATGTTTATTATTATTTATCAAAAAATATGTAAACAAATATATTGCAGATAGATTACAAATAACATAAATACAGATACATGAAATACATAAATCAATGCCTTTCAAAAATTTTTAATATGATGATAATCTTAAACAATTTATAACGTACTTACTTCATGAATTTTAAAAAGTTAATAAAAACTTCACTATAGGTTTACACATTTTCTTTAAAACATCTTTATTGTAGCGCAATGTTCTACTAATTTTACGATGGTTTTCTTTCGTGGTACATAGTATATGTATATTAAATTAAAAAAAAAATTGTGGACACCACTACGATAATTATAATTATTATAAAATTGAATAATGTGTACTTTGTAATTATTATACGAGTGCATGAAAGTTTATTGTTTATCTAGATCTCTAGACGCATTTGAAGCAGAATTTTCCAATTTGTTCAACGTAAAGAATACTTCGAGATCACTCGTATCACCAATCTGAGCGCTGCATTTTAATTATCTGTAACACTATTAAAACGGAGAGTTCAGATTTTTTTAAAATTTTAATATAATAACACTTTTTAGGTACGACTTTCCATTGATGTCAGTGGAGTTTGGTGTTGATACGTATTTTTACAGAAAGATTACATTTTTATAAGCACACACACAAAGTTTCTATATGCGGAAACACGTACTTATTGAGAAAAAAATATTGTAAATCAAATAATTTTGCAATATTTAGTCAATTCCTACCGTGAAACTGACACCATTTTTATTATTATTGTCAGTAGGGATGTCGATTCTTTCCGAAAAAGATCGATTTTTAAATAGATTCGAATTGTAAGCTGATGTATCGATTCCCAAAAAATCGATGTCTAAAATATCGATATTTTTTTTCATGTTTGCATTTATAATGTAAATATAAATCCATTTTATGAGAAAAAAATCCCCTTCATCATAAAAAAATAAGGGGACTGATTCAGAAGGATTTCTGTATCTATTTTGAGACTGCTACGTCTCTGGCGCTGCGGGAAGAGCAGCCTCTACGCCTTAGCGTAACAAATCGCAGGCATCCCTCCTCGCCTCCGCAGCTTCGACTTGTTGGTCGCCTTCGGCGACCTGCCTTTGTTGTTTTTATTTATGCAGACCAAAATATTAAGTGAAAGTTAAAAAAGCTTCATCATACATCAATATATTTTACCAAGGAGAAAACAAGGGGTTCAACTAACTTACTATTTACTGTGTTACTGTACCTACTCTATTTTACATGTGCATACACTGTGATTATATGATTGCAAGAGGGTTTATAATAATATTATTATAAATATTTGCATATTAAATACGTACCATTTCCTCAAATCCGAAGTAGTTATGAATGAATAGAAAGCTTTTCCACATATTCTTTTCGCAAACTCTGCTATGTTCTTCTACAACTAGATTCCACTGCGGCCCGTTGTTAATGTCAGGAAGGATGTATGTACAAAATAACATCAAACTCAAGAAGAGCGGGAATAATCTGAAAAAGGTGAACACAATCTTTACTAATGAAATTGCAGTATAATATGTTGAACTGGTAATAATTAGTTCGACTTGGGAGATGATGGCAGAAGATCCGACAGTATGACTTTGGTCCCTTGGGAGAGAAGTAAAGCCCTAACGTGGAATGTTAAATGCGTAGACTTTGGCAGCCTATCATTTCAGGGGATCTTCGCTTAGAGTCGGGGTGGCATCAAAGGCAGGTGACCTGAGTAAAGACCTGAGTGACCACATATTTGAGGTCTACGTGCTGCGTTCTTTATCGCCGCTGATGATAAAGAAAGCTGGATCTTTTCTCCGTCAAAGGCTATGTATAGCCAGCTATTCAGCGAGAAAACACAGTCAGCGTTCTTGACACTATACCAAACTACTTAAACATACGTTATTTATATTATTTATAAAAAAGCAATATCTTGGAATTCTATATTTAAATAAATTTTGCATATATAGCACATATTACATATTATTTCTATTTTTTCTTTAATTATTTTATATTATGTCTTTTTCAAATTCAGTTATCCATTTTTTTCTTTCGGTTTTGTTTTTCTGCAATATTGCTATTATTACAATAGACTAAAAATCCTGTTATTTTGTAATATAACTTTCGAAGTGGTAGCAATGCATCTCAAACGATACACAATATCAATGACACTTATACGAACATAGAATTACAAACGAACGAACTGTGCGTAATTGGTTCAATCGTTTTTGTTCGGGAAATTTTAACTTCAAATTTTATTCGCGATTGCCGAATTGTGAGGGAAAATTGGAATAGTAAATTTTACAAAAAAGATTTATTACTAATGGCAGAAGATGGGCATTAAAAAAACCCACATTTTTGACTGATTTTTACCATTGCTTCTTCATGACAACGCAAAGGGTTTCGGGTCCTTTGTTGTATCCTCAAAGCAGAGAATTAAAGATAAGTAAAATTAAACGCGACAAAATCCGTAAAAGTAATTTTATTCAATGTACAGTAGACGTTAGAAAAATTTGCAGAACTAAAACTAGAGTCCCTTCCTCATCGATCATTTTCTGCCGCTCTCCTCAACAGACTTCTATTTTTGTCGAAATATAGATAACTTTTTGATAGGCAAGAATTTTTTATTACGTATTCATCATAATTTTAATAACGATTGTGTGGCGCATCATCCAGCGTAGTATAGCGTCAGCTTAATTCAGGTTTGAGAACAAATAACCAAATCTGCATTATAAAAACGATAACAGTGGTAGAGCCACGTGGCGGCTTTTGCTGTCGCACGGATGGGCCGGCTCAAACCGGGGTGGTACCACGACCTCACAGAATACCAGCGTGAAGTAGAGGTTTACCTCTGCGTTTCGCTTGGTGAGTGCAGGTGGCCGGAGGCCCTTTTTACTGGAAATGAGGCATTCCATCTTACTCCTCACGGATGACAACGCATCTGCATTTTGATTTGATATAGAAGATAGATGTAGATGTCTATGAGCCGCAGCAACCACTTACCATCAGGTAGACAGTGTGCTCGTTTGTCACCCTTATCCTAGAAAAAAAAACTACTCTGAGTTGAAAGCTAGAAAATTTGTTAAATCTATACATATACAAAAATCCACATAAATAAAATTGAAGTGTCTGTTTGTAATGTCAAAATAACAACTTCTACTAATTGTATATGAAAGTATATAAAAAACACAATTATTAAAATTTTTGTCTGTCTGTCTGTCTGTATGTTTGTTCCGGTTAATCTCCGAAACAACTGGACCGATTTTGACGGGACTTACACTAGTAGATAGCTCATGTTATAAGGAGAAACCTAGGCTTTAATAATTAGGGTTCCGCGTAACAAAATTAAAACCCTAAATTGCACGCGGGCGAAGTCAGCACAGTTATAATCAGGCAGCACAAATTGTTGTTATCTGGGTTATCTGTCAAAGATGGAAATGTTTTTGGAATAAATAATATAATACTCATGATAAAATAAAACAAACTAACGTTGCTCTTTGTTTTACACTTTGAGTTATGCCTTATTAATAATTTGATATATTATGAACATTATAAAAATGGTTATTTAATTAGATTGAAACATTTAGGCCTCGTCACGTGCTTAATGACAATTTTACACAACTTAACTGGCACATATTGACACGTGCCAGTTATAAGTATACGAAACAGATAAGTTATTGTAAATTAACGATTTTTTTAATTGACAAAAAAAATTAAATTTATAATAAACGCTTAATCCGTTACACAGCCGCAGATAAAATACAATTCTGTGATTTCAATTAAGCAAATATATTAAATTGGATACAAATAAATGTTTTTAATTCGTAAACCGAACTGCGGCAACAGATAAGCACATACAGTCTATGTTTAAATTGATCACGACTGTATTTACATTGCTTGTTGCATGTTACAAATCGTGTTTATCTGTTCTGCTTCAACAAATAACGATGTTTTACGTTAACAGTGTTACCGTGTAGTGGCGGTGTAAGAATATCCACTATCCCTTATTATCTCGTGGGTGTTGTAGGAGACGACAGAGCAAATCAGGAGCTGGGCAGCAGCGTCTTCTAACGGCTAGACATAAAAACCTGCGGTTGCCTACCCGCTTGCCTAGCTATGGCAACTATAGCAAATATATGAGGCAAACTATGGGAGAGGCCTATGTTCAGCAGTGGACTTTAATAGGCGGTAACGGTAACATTAATGTAATATCAGCAGCGGTGGGAATTTATCACCTCCATTTTATCATTCTCGTTTAAAAGTGGTTGACTAAGAGAAATTAAAAAGGGAGCCGTGGTAGCTCAGGGCCTAAGCGCTCACTGTAAATGTCACAGTATGGGCAACCCGGGTTCGATCCCAGCTGGCACCAATGAAATTGTTAATTGCAATTTTAAGTGTTGATATACGTACTATGTGTATCGCAGAAAACCTGCATCTTTGAGAAATAAGAAGACATGTGAAGAACGTCAACACGCATTGGGGCGGCGCGGCGGACATTTCCTTGCCCTAACACCCTCCCAGAAATGAAAGGCCTGTGCCCGGAAGTGGGACGTATAGAGGCTGTAACTTAAGGGAAATTCCATTTTCCCATTCCGTCCCGCGGGTGTTTTAAGAGGATGCTATGGGAAATATTAAGATCTTATAGCTTCCTATTGATGAAGGTATAATATTATATTTACGCCAGATCTAAAATACCCAGATCATCGACTGAGTGTAACATCAAAAATGTGTGGCGTCTGGTACCACGGTCTTCAAGTATTCTGTCAAGCACACCCTAAATCCTCCTAACTACCTTGAGACCCACGCAGTAGAATTTTAAGGGCTGAATATGAAGAAAAAGAAGCCACTATTGCGTTTTAATTGTCTGCAGTTCATGAAAAAGAAACCAAATTTTGATTAAGCAAAAAGGCTACGAATTGTGAGCAATCTCGTTGTCTCCGACAGTTGGTTGTCCGCCATTAAATGCCCTAGCGGGGTAGAGATCTACGTTTAATGTACGAAGTGTGTGGGAAAGCGACGCCAATTAGTGTGCCTGGTGTAGATATACCGCAAAAGGTAAGCTTATGTACAATAGGAATCTATGTGCAAGCTCTTACATAAGTATACTTACATCAATACTTAATAATATACTATATACTTAAAACATAAATTATATACGTGGTAGAGCCGTGCTGCAGCTATATTAGTAGTATAGTTGTAGCTCGACCGGGGAAGGCTCCACGATTACACTCTCACAGAATACAAGCATAAAATGGCAGCTTGATACTGCTGTGTTTCGTATGGTGAGTATAGAGAAAAGGAGACCCATTTTATTGGAAAAGAGGCATTCCATCTTAGTCCTCACGGGTGACGACGCATCTGCATTTTGTTTCTTTATTGAGGATAAATGAAGATGTCTATGGCTCACAGCAAGCACTCACCATCAGGTGGACTGTGTGCTCGTTTGTCTATAAAAAAAAAACTCCAGAATGAAGTATACTGGTTTTCGTTATTAGGTATCCGGGTCCGTCTTATTAGATCTAATTAGAATAATTCAATATTCGGTTTTAAGTCAATATTCTATAATATCACTATATTAAAAAAGTCTCACTGGGTCTCTTGCTTGTTCTTTCGTGGACAGAGGTTTTTCCGAACCTTAAATGACTTTCAGTAAGTTTTCTTGTGATCTGCCTATTTTTTTATTTCGCATTTAAAAAAAAAACGTAACCCCCACACTAAGATTTTCTCCTGTATCGTGTAGAGGCAGTTAACATACATAAATTGCTCAAGGACACACATCCAGACCCGAAACAAATACCTGTAGGCCATACAAATACTTGTTCCGTGCGGGATTTGAACCCGCGGCCCTTAGCGCTGTAACTCAATGCTAACCCTCTGCGCCACGGAGCCGATAAAAGCCTATAAAAGTCCACTATTGCATTATACACCAAATATCCAAATCTTAGGTCTGTAGCTCATTCCGTGTAAGAGCTAGAGATCCTATCTTACGGACGGACAAACGGACAGACAACACGGTGACAGTAATAGGGTTCCGTTTTACCCTTTGAGTACCGAAGCCTAAAATTAGGCATTTTCGGGTGAAAACTTTGACTTTGAATGAAACCAATTTTACGGATTTTATCGTATGGTCACGGGGGTTTGTGGGTGCTGTAAAGCGCCCGAAACGTCCAGAATTAAAAAGTTAAAATTAAACGCGATAAAATACGTTAAATTGGTTTCATATAATGTGTAGTGCTCGCGTAAATATAATAATACATAACTTTGACTTTGATTTTACAACAGTGATTAAGATGACGTTGACTTATATTGCATTACACGAATTAGTTCATGAATTTTCTAATGCCACCAATTCCATTATAACTATATAATAATATCAGTTAAAATATCAAACATTTAAAAAAGTTAAAGTACAGCCTATATATGTCCCACTGCTGGGCACAGGCCTCCCCTCATTTCTGAGACGGTTTTAGAGCAAGGAAATGTCCGCCGCGCTGCCCCAATGCGTGTTGGCGAACTTCACACGTCTTCGAATTTTTTTCTTATTTCTCAGACTTGCAGATTTCCTCACGATGTTTTCCTTCACCGTCGAGCACGTGGTCAACCATTTACATAAAGTTATTTAAAATAATTGATACTATTACTCGACCGCGTGGTGTCGTAAAAGGCGATAGAGGAAAACAAACCAGGAGATAGGCGCGTCTCTAGAAAATTAAAAACTGAGGTTGCGATTGCGAACCATGCAGGCAAGCGTGGCAACTATGGGAAATATACCCTTTATGAGATAATCTATGGGAAGGCCTATTTTCAGCAGTAGACTGTGATATACTGTAATGAATGAAATGAATATCAATTATTAATAATAGAAATAATAGTACATGAGTATAATAGAGAAGAATAATAGAAAGTATAGTACAAGATAGCGCTTATTAAAATTAAGGCTTTTTACATAATATAGAAATATAAACAATATAAAAAAAAAGAAACTAAAACTAAAAAAATAACCAACGCTCCTTTCATTAGCGGCGACGACAAGTTGCAGATACTGTTACCGCACGTGGACCTCACGGACCGATAGTGTTCACAGCATACTCTCAACTACAACTTACGACTTATTTTATATAACCTTCTCTATATATAAAAATCAATTCCTGAACGTTAGTCTCGTTAAATCTCGCTAAAACACGAAAACGGCTCGAACGATTTTGATGCAATTTTTTGTGTGCCTTTGAATGAGTCTCTGCATAGTTTAGATTCACAATTGGACACGGTAGGTGGCGCTGTTGTCGAGATCCAGGAATCACCCGGGCGAAACCGGGGTGGATCGCTAGAGTTTAATATTTAATTTTTTTTACGTCAATGTTATAATGGCATTATTTTATCATTATTCATCAATCATTATATATGTTCACGTGTAGGTATTATTATTAACAGGATCAATTTGAATAACGAAATATTTAATAATAACACACATTGAATACCAGCGTAAAATAGAAGCTAAATACTGCTTAAAAGTTGAGTGTAAAGAATCGGAGACCCTTTTTACTGGCAATGAGGTATTCCATCTTAGTCCTCATGGGTAACCACGCGTCTATATTTTGATAGACGTAGATGTCTATGGGTCACGGAATCTACTTACCATCATGGGGACTTTGTGCTCATTGGTCACCCTTTTTCTAATAAAAAAAAACCGTAAAATTTACCTAAACCAAAGTTTAGAGGCGAAACACATCGTGTTATCGACGGTGGTGTGTCTTTCCTATTGTATTGGTGTTGGGAGTAGTACTAGTATTTTGATTTTAGTGGTGACGGGGACAGTGCACTCAATTGAGGGAGGGCGGGTGGTGCAAACTAGGCGAGACACATCCATTTATTTTACAAACGCGATTCTTTTGTAATTATTTTTTAACATCTTTATTTTACCTAAACCATCGCGCGAGCAATCTGTTTTTCATGTCAATAGTCCCTTTTCTTTCCAACTCTTGAAGAAGGTTGTGAGCATTCAAAAAGCCGCTAAGGTACAGGAAACTGTCCGTGTATACAATGGCGGAGCGGCCAATCACCGCCCAAGGCATGCCGAACACCTGAAAGATAAGAGACATTTAATAATCATGATAAGGATTTTATGTTATTACTTTTGACTTTGCTTTGAAAAGGGTTATTGAACTCCTCCGTTACCTGTTCGATCGCTATGAAAACTTTTCCTTATCACTAGATGCATTAAACTATGTAGAACATTATAAGTATTATAGTAATGTCATTGACCTCAAAAATATATAAAATAACTTATAATGTTATTAATCGATCTTTTTAATGTTGAAGTCCCATATTGTTTTTTTCCCATTTTTTACGTGGTAGAGCCATGCTGCAGCTATATTAGTAGTATAGTTGTAGCACGAATGGGTCGGCTCGACCGGGGAAGGACCACGCTCTCTCAGAAAACCAGCGTAAAATAGCAGCTTAACGGTGCTGTGTTTCGTATGGTGAGTGTAGAGAACCGGAGACCCTTTTTACTGGCAAAGAGGCATTCCATCTTAACCCTCACGGGTGACAACGCATCTGGATCTTGAGTCTTTATTGAGGATAGATGTAGATGTCTATGGGTCACAGTAACCACTTACCATCAGGTGGACTGTGTGCTCGTTTGTCACCCTATCCTATAAAAAAAAATGGTTGGACGTTTTAATCGTGAGTTTTCCATACATTCCATGAAAAAGAAACGTGTAGTGGCGGTGTAAGAATATCTACTACCCATATCATTCTGCGGCTGACGTAAGAGATGACTGAAGGAAACAAACCACGAGGTGGACAGCAGTAACTTTTAAAATTTGTTAAAAACTAAAAATACAAACTGCGGTTGCTAACCCGCCTGCCAAGCGCGGCAACTATGGCAAATTGCCTTATGAGGCAATCAATGGAGGCGGCCTATGTTCAGCAGTGGCCTTTATAGGTAATCGTGAGTGTTATTATAGATTATTTTTTATAGTTTTCATAGCTGCCTATTCAATTACAAAATTCATTAACGAAAGAGTGCGTTGAGCAGGATCTTTTATGTAAGCTGTAGGCATCGCGTCGAGTTTCAATCTGAATTTACTTGTCCGGAGTGTAAACATAAAAAGAGTTTGTGGATGTATAAAAATAAAAGTGTAAATATTAAATTTATTAATAACTCGACCACATCACCTTTAGCATTAAACTATGTGTACTATTTATGAGTCATTTTGGTCTATAAATGTATAATTTGTTAATAATTGACTACAGCGTCACCCACAGAGCAACACAGGCCACCGGTGGACCGGAGGGGAGTAACCATACGCAGGCGTTCCCCTCTGTCAAAGTATAAGTTCACACGGTCCAATGCGTACAATAAAACTGCTCACTAGTCTAAACCTAGTTGCGAGGTTGAATCGTCATTCTACAAAAATGCCGAATTGTTCAGTTTTTTGCTGCACTAAGAGATCTACCTCGTCAAATTTACAATAAGATGGCGTTACATTTCATATATAAGTAATTTTAATCACATCATTACTATTTACTTCTTTTTAAACTTTGTAATTACTATAATAACAGTCGTGTTGTTTCGGATTTGTTTACCCACACAGGCTGCTCGCCCTCATGCTATATGCGGATCGGTCGAGCGATTGATTAGAGTCTGTATCCAAGTTGTCGCATCTATATGTGTGTGTGAAATTGTTAGTATATTGTTATAATTGTAATGTGTGAGTATATTTTAATTGTTACGTAGTGACAGACTTTACGTGTGTGCACATATCCCCCCTCAACCCCGCAAAAAATGACAGACAGTTCTGTATCAGGAAAAAACACTATTCCCTCCGGTCCACCGGTAGCCCATGTTGCTCTATGGTGTCATCTATACATAATTTATGTGGCACTTATTAATTATTATAATTTTTATAAAATACAATTACAAGTTAGTTGTATGAGATAGTCTCGCAGAATTCGATGTTTTTTCTTTCCGTTGCTGGAGAGGGTACTGTTCATTTTCCTTCTATCGGCTCTTACGGCACCCTAGAAACGATGTGGGATAGTGTGTATTCTTACACCACCACTACACGGTTAGGGAAAATGAAGTAGAAGATTGGCAACAGCATCTTCGAAAACTCTAAATAAGTAAAAACCGCGGTTGCCAACCCGCTTGTCGAGCGTGGCGACTATGGCAAAAACCCCCAATGAGGCAACATATGGAGGCCTATGTTAAGCTGTGGACTATTTTAGGTTGTAATGGAATGGAATGGAGAGTACTTATATACTTATATATTGCAATGCAGTGGACGATATGAATGACAAACTCGTGGAAACTGTCCATGCGGTCGGAGCTAAGTTTTGCAAGACCCGCCGCAGAAGAACACAAAAACTCTCCGATCACACTCTTAATCTCATGGCTGTTAGACGGGATATGAAGCTGCAGTCTTCTGCAGGCAACTGAACAGACAAATCTCCAAATGCATGCGGCGGGACTTACGCAACATTAATACTGCTCGTATTGAAGAAGCGATCGAGCGGAACCAGGGCTCCAAAGTCTATGCTAGAGATCTGTCTGCCAGACAAGCCAACTGTCGAAGCTGAAGACCGAGTGTGGCAGCGTCATTTCCGAGACACCTGAGATTTTAAGTGAGATTGAGAGGTTCTATGGGCAGCTGTACACATCATCGTTGGAGCCACACGCAAGTGTGAGTAACGATCCAAGAGCGACTCTTATCCGACACTTTTCCTAAGATATCCCGGACTTCAGTCTGAGTGAGATTAGAATGGCTCTCCAGCACCTTTAAAACGGCAAAGCCCTAGGCGAGGATGGAATCACAGCGTAGCTTCTGAAAGCGGGTGGAAAACCGGTACTTGAAGTCCTTCAGAAGCTTTTTAATTCCGCCCTCAATGGTGGCATTACACCGGAGGCGTGGAGCAGAAGTGCGGTGGTCTTGTTCTTCTAGAAAGGCGACAACGCTCTCTTGAAGAACTACAAACCGATTTCCCTTCTGAGCCGCGTCTACATGCTGTTTTTAGGAGTCATTACGAATCGTCTCGCGCGCAGACTTGACGACTTCCAGCCTCCTGAACAAGCCGGTTTCCGAAAAGGCTTTAGCACTATAGACCACATACATACCCTTCGGCAAGTTATACAGAAGTCCGAGGAGTACAATTTGCCACTATGCCTGGTGTTTGTGGACTATGAGAAAGCCTTTGATTCCATCCAAATTTGGGCGGTGCTGCAGTCCCTTCAGCGGTGCCAAGTTGACTATCGGTATATGGAAGTGCTGAAGTGCTTATACAGTAGGGCTACAATGGCTATCCGAGTACAGAACCAGAGTACGAAACCTATCCAATTGCAGAGAGGTGTAAGACAGGGTGACGTTATATCCCCGAAACTTTTCACCGCTGTATTGGAAGATGTTTTCAAGCTTCTGGACTGGAAAGGATACGGTATTAACATCAATGGCGAGTACATTACTCACCTTCGATTTGCCGATGATATAGTCCTTATGGCAGAATCGTTGGAGGACCTAAGCACTATGCTCAAAGACCTCAATAGTTTTTCCCAACGGATGGGTTTTAAGATGAACGTGGACAAAACAAAGATCATGTTTAATGTCCATGTCACACCTATGCCGGTAGTTGTTGGGAGCACTAAGCTCGAAGTTGTTGACGAGTATGTTTACCTGGGACAAATAGTCTGACTAGGTAAGTCCAACTTCGACCGAGAGGTCAATCGACGGATTCAACTCGGTTGGGCAGCGTTCGGGAAATTACGGCTCATCTTCTCGTCAGGTATACCTCAAAACTTGAAAACGAGACTGTACAACCAGTGCGTGTTGCCAGTGATGACATATGGAACTGAGACGTGGTCCTTCACTGCTGGCCGGATAAGGAAGCTCAAGGTCACTCAGCAGGCTATGGAGAGGGCTATGCTCGGAATTTCTCTGCGTGATAAACTTATAAATGAGGATATCCGCAGTAGAACTAGAGTGACCGACATAGCCCAACGGATTAGTAAGCTGAAGTGGCAATGGGCCGGCCATATAGCTCGAAGAACCGACAACCGATGGGGAAAAAAGGTTCTCGAGTGGCAGCCTCGTACCGGCAGGTGTAGTGTAGGGCGTCCCCCCAATAGATGGAGTGACGACCTGGTAAGATATGCAGGAAGTCGATGTATGCAGGTGGCTCAGGACCGTGCTTTGTGGCGTTTCTTGGGGGAGGCCTACGCTCAGCAGTGGACTTGTGAAGGGCTGTAATGATAATGATGATGACTGCTGTGTTTCGTATGGTGAGTGTAGAGAACCATTTTACCGGAAAATAGGCATTCCAACTTAGTCCTCACGGGTGACGACTCATCTGGAGTTATTCTTTATTGAGGATAAATGTAGATGTCTATGGGCCGCAGCAACCACTTACCATCAGGTGGACTGTGTGCTCGTTTGTCACCCTATCCTATAAAAAAAAGTAATGTGACTTGTTGTTGAATATATAAGTATATGTCGCAAAACATAGGAGACGCCAAAGTTTAGTTTGACGCGGTATTCAAACGGTAATACTCTTCACGCTTTACTCAATTCTGAAGGTTCCATGTGTTCCTGAGTACTTGAAATCTAAATGTATATGCTTGAGAAGTTCTTATAATTGTGCGCTCCATGCTTTGACTAATTTTAAGTTGCTCACGCCTTTACACCGTACTGGTTACTTATCTCAATCTTTCGCCCACACGGCTACTGACCCTTCAACGACATCTTTCTTGATATTACAAAGCTCCCAACAGGTTTGTATTAAAAATAAAGTCCGTAAGCATTTAAAAATCGTTGAAATTTACAAAGCATTTGCGACGTTCTGTTTCTCCATAAGCTTCTTCCAGTTTCGGTGGTCAATTTTAAATCAAAAAAAATTTTTTTATCAGTATTTAGAACAGGGAAATTATTTTTGGCTATCCGTTTTCCCACCGCAAACTCATTTCGTTGTGTTTGACTAACTCCTTCAGTAAACGCAAATTTTTCATCAGAGTTCATCAGTCACGCAGTGGCACACGCAATGACAAAACTATATATATATACCAATTTATTTATTTTTATTTTATTTTTATATTAATTTGTTGGTACGACAGTACACAAACATTAATTTGGTTATCAAAGCAGACATGTTTATTTTCTATATATGTATACAGACGTCGTAAAGTTTTGGCATCGCATAAACGTTCATCGAAGTTACGTCGTAAGCCCGTTGTTGATTGCCGAAGTTTGCCAGACTTAACAACTTTTAATAACTTTGATATAGGAGAGTGGATAAATGCATTATAGTAATAAGGGAGGTAGATATTTCTGTATTTACCGGCTTTTAGGCGCTTCGTAGAACTCAACGTTGGAAGGAAATTATTAATGGTGTATTTTAATGACTTTCACAGTTATCAGTCGTTTATCTATCAACTGCTTTATTAAAATCACCTTATTAGAATTCAGCTAAGAATAACTGTTACCTATTAAAAGTTACAGAGTAATATCGAGTCATGTTATTTTAATTTTTTATAGCATGACAAAGGAGCACACAGTCCACCTGATGGTAAATGGTTGCTGTGGCCCATAGACATCTACATAAATATCCTCGATTACGAATCAAAATGCAGATGTGTTGTCACTCATTAGGAATAAGATGAAATACCTCGTTTCCAGTAAAAAGGGTCTCCGGTTCTCTACACTAACCATACGACGCACAGTAGCGTTAAGCTGCTATTTTACACTGGTTTCTGTGAGAGCGTGGTCCTTCCCCGGTCGAGCCGACCCAGTCGTGCTACAACTATACTACTAATATAGCTGCAGCATGGCTCTACTACGTAAAAGTTATGTTGGTATGATGATTTTTAAGTAGTATCTTTTACATTATCATTGTTTAATAATTAGACAATTTTTTACGTTATCATGATGGCTCGATATTATTGATCTCAAAATTTTGTTCTATTTTTCTTTTAGAAATCAAGTTCGTTCTCCGCCAGCACCCGGTACCAATATAACTGTCAAAAAGTGTTTTATTTACAATAGTTGGCGAAGAAGGAGCATATCGTGAGAAAACCAGTATAACTGGCAAATTAAAAATTGCATGATTTCTGGCAACACGCACTGCAGCAGCGTGGCGGACTATTCTTTATCGTACAACCCTGTCAGGAAAGAGAGGATGCCTGTACCCAGCAATGGGAAGTTTAAAGGCTGTTTACTTTTTTACAATAATATCTATATTCATATCAATCTCGACCTAACGATTGTTAATATTTATTTCAGGTGTTTGGAATGTTTTTAAAAGTAATTAAGTTCTATGCTCAATACTCACTGCTGAAAAGCTGGTCTTGTTTGCGAAAGGGCTATGTGCCATTGCCATGGACTTATGAGCTAGGAGCAAAGCAAACGCATTCAGTCCTCTAAAAGCGTCCACCCCCTTCACCCTCGTCGGCGCGTCAGACAAGTCAAACACTTTCCTCAAATTACGTTTTAGGGAAAACGCGTTGAGAAGCTTCTCGAAGTTAGTCGCGCCATCCTTGCCGTCGTCTAATATCGTTCCCAGGCTCAAAAGCAGAATGATTGCAAGGAAAAATGTTCTGTAAATGCATGCAAAAGCGTTGAATTAGCATTAAAGTGTAGGTTTTAGTTGGGATGTTTTAGAATTTTATGATAATCCCGTTATAAAATTTACATAATATATATACATATTTTACGCTCACTGTATAAAAATTATGCATATGGCGCTGGATAAGATAGAAGTAAGAAGGTTAAATTTATGACTTTAAGAAAAATTCATCGCACAGAATACCAGCGTGAAATAGTATCATTATGACGCTGTGTTTCGCATGGAGAATGTAGGGAACGGGTGATCTTTTTTTACTGCAAACGAGGCATTCCAGGTGTGACAACGTATCTGCATTTCGATTTTCAATCTAAGATAGATGGGGCCACAGTATCCATTTACCATCACGTTATATATCTGTTTGACCATTTGTTACCCTTACTTTGAAAAATATACATGAAGAGAAATGAATAGGTCTTTCCTTTTTTAACTATTGTAAACCAGTGCTTAACTACCATGCCACCTGATGGTAAGTAGTGATGTAGTCCAAGATAGTAAACGCACAGCCTTAGCTCAGCAAAAACATTTCCACTCTTGCCTTGGAAGACGCATACATTGTAATCGGATGACAAAGCAGTAGCTAGCAAATTATTTCACTCCTTTGCTATAAGCATTGTGGTCGACGAAGCAAATAGGATAGGGACATTGTTCTATCTTTTTCTATTTATAACTTCCGTCCGTAAGTGTGCACCAACGAATTTCGCCCGTTTCTCTTGCCAGATGTCCAGCATGCTCGATGCTTTGGATCGATTTTCTGTGTATTATACGTCTCATAAAAACCACATGGTAGTACCACCATCTATCGGAAGCCATCAGATTTTTCTGACACTTCTCATAGTTACCCTTTACAAGATCCATGGGCTATATGAAGTAATGGATAATCTACGAAGTCACCACACGGCTAATAATAATAATAATTTATTTCGAATAACCAAGGAATCTATATAGTTTTATAGTAAATATAAAACTATAAGTTTTGTACCTATTTTAGTACCTAAATCTCGTTCTTAAATACAATTGCCTTATTAACTAAACAGAGGCGGTAATATTGCTTAAGAAGAAATGAGTCTAAACGCGTGTCTTACTCAAATAAATATCTTTATAAAATTACGGCTACATTCACACGTTTACTTAGTAAAATATGTTTATGTTAATTGAACAGTCAATTTCACAGAGGGTTTTCGTAAATTGGAGTGTTTGATTTCTATGCAAAGATTCGATTTCTAACGGAAACTAAATTCTGATTCTCGTTTAAACAATAGTTTCTGGACACTCCGACGCTTAGTTTGAATAGGAACAGCGAGCAGATGCATTTAATGTGCTCCACGCCGGAATGTTGACAGATGCAAGACGCCGCTCAATGGGTTCCCAGAGCAAGATGGCGCCTTGTACCGTCGCCTACCGCTTGCACAAACACACGGCTCATCCTGAGGTTATTGCAAACATATGCACATAAATTACAATGAGATTACCTGATCTTGCTTCTTAAATGGATTTTATAATATATTTTTTAATCTTACTGTATTTAGACGTATTTTTCATAGCCGTATAGTAGTGGCTAAAGAGAATACTAACCCCTAGAGTTGAGCCCGTGGGTGTCGTACAGGCGACAGGGGGAAATAAAATAGGAGATGGACAGCATCATCATCTGATTACAACTCAAAATACTACAAAGAAAACTAAACTAAGAATTATTTATTGTGCTATTTCTACGCCGATACCGGTAAAATATGTAAATTATCCCAAAATTTATAATGCAACAACGAATGTACCATGTCTCTGAAATAAATAATAGAAAAACTCCGGTTGCCAACCCGCTTGCCATACCAATGTCTCCGTAAGAGACAATCTATGAGAGGAGAGGCCTCTATAGATATCTGAAAATAAATAATTTGTTTTAGTCTCGCTTTCATTTCACTTTCCCGAACCAGTGGTAAAGTAAAAAATGACTCAATACAAATTACATGTAATCTAAATTGAAAAATTATTCTGTAATTTTGCACAAACATACGAGTATATGGGCTCAAGCAGTATTTCAAACCCTTGACCGGGAATGAACAATCAAAGAATCAAATTGAATATATAATAAATATCCTTTCATCTTTTGTTAAATTTGGAAAAAACAGAAGTGGAATTACATCGCAGATATACAACGTCATATAGGGTTTCATAATCTAACTTAAAATAACTTTCTTTTTGGGCAATTGGGAATTCTAGCTTAATATTTTTCTCGTCTACAAAGACGAAAAGGTACCTTACATGACAAACCTTAAAGGACGGTCTATAAACTGAAAAAATACGTCTGTAACGTTGCCAAGGTAGTTTAATCAATTAATCTATGAGAATAAATTATAAAGTTGTCGTGTCTTTTTATTATTTTCGAAATTTCACGGTTTTTCATCAAATTCGTTCTCGGACAACATTCGCCATTATACCGCATGTGTTCATCCAGTAACATTGTTCGATCTGAAGTGGATGTTTTCATGGGTTCAGTGGCCTTCACAAAAAACAAATTATTACAGTATCTTTATTCCAAGTATGTCATTTAATTTAGCCTTAATTTAATTTAGTCTTAATTTAATTTAATTTGGTTTTTAATTTAGCATGATTATAACATAACTTTAAGTACCAAACTTTATTGTTAATCACATGTTGTACATTACGTGCAAGCTGTGTCTACATATATATTAGAATACAATTTTTGAAATCTTTGTTTTATATAATACCTGTTAGCATGTTGAAATTGTGTTCTGTTTTGTAGACCAAATAAAGAGAAAGAGAAAGAAAAGAAAGAAAGAAAGAAATTTATTTATTTCTCAAAGAAATGTTCTCGAGTGGCAGTGTTGTAACGCAAAACGAAGTGTATGGCGGCCCCCAACTTATTTAAATGACGACCTGGTAAGAGATGTTAGAATTCGATGAACGTGGTTTCAGGAGCGTGTATTGTGATATTCGTTGGAGGAGGCCTATGTTCATCAGTTATGATGTTAATGTTCTTTTTTACTTATATATAATGATCATCATCATTACAGACTATCAAAAGTCCTCTGTAAAATAAGTGCCTCTCGCTCCCTCAACGGAGGTATATTGCCATAGTTGTCAAGCATGCCAAGCGGGTTGACAACCACAGTTTATTTTATTTTTCAGTTGTTTTCAGGAAGATGATGCCGTCTATGGCCATATTTGTTTCAAGTTCATTGCAGTTGTCTATGGGCTACAGAAACCACTTATCATCATGGAATGTAAGCTTATTAAATAATATACGTGGCGTGCACGTGTCGTGCCAACACGGCTCCTGCAGCAATATAGTTGTAGCATGTATGAGTCGGCTTTAACAAGGAAGGACCACGCTCTTACAGAATACCAGCCTGAAATTGCAGCTTAATGCTGCTGCGTTTCATATGGTGAGTTTAAAGAACCGGAGATCCTTTTTACTGGAAACAATGCATTCAATCTTATTCGTCAGGGGTAACAATACATCTGCATTTTTATTTCTAGTCAACAAAAGATGTAGGTTGTAGGTGTCTACGGGCCACAGCATCCACTTACCATGAGGTGGACTGTGTGCTCGTTTGTCATCCTTATTCCGTAAAGAAAGCTCCCATGTTGCTCTAATTATTACAAAATTTATTAAGTAAGCATGGCAGACATAAATACATCCATCCTCTATTAAGAATCAAAATGCCACAATCAGTAAAAAGGGTCTTTAGATCTTATCACTATACACAGACACCATACGAAACACAGCAGAATTACGTTGTTGTTTACGTTGAAATAGCGGTCCCTCCCAGATCGAGCCGGCCTATTCATGCTGCAGTAACAATAAAACAAAATAAATTTCCGCAAATAACGCGAGCAAACTCACAGGCATTGTAAATGTCATATAAAATCGTGATATCGTTTTCTTTAGTGCCCTTATGTAAGACGCTGTCGGGTATCGTCCCGAGCGCTTTTTGCCACTCAGTATTAAACAAATATTACGTATAGAGACTGGCGACAGAAAATGCGATAGAAAGGAGTGGGTAATATCGCCGAATTGCTGTACCCTTTTGCGGCCTTATCGCTGCTGTGCTGTAATTTTGCTCGGCGTGGAAAACAAAACCGATTTGGGCCTGTTTATAAAATAATGGGCAATTGTAAATAAAGATTGAATCGATTTTATAATGTAATTTTATAGTTTCTGTGAGATAAACTGGTGACCACAGGACTACATTCACGTTTGAGAAGATAGAGAAGTTCGTGAGTTTGTCATACTACTTGGGGGCTGGTTAGCGATTTATGTTTAATATGTTTTTCTACCGACTTCAAAAAGGAGAAGGTAGTTAATTCGATTGTATGTTTTTAATGTGTGTTGCCTCATAACTTTTTCTTGGGTAAACAGATCTCGATGATTCTTTTTTTTTATTTGATAGCTAGTGCTTCTTATGTGGTCCCATATAAATTTGATCAAGATCTGACCCATAGTTTTTGAGTTATTCTCAATAATTTAAACTAAAGTCAGTTCTACAAAATTTTTAATTTTAAATTAGTTTTAAAAAGTTTCCCTTAAATATATTCTTCTAAAGATCCTCTACAAAAAGAAAACATGTAGGAAGTAAGCATTTATCCACAAATTTATTCACTAGAACCCATCAAAAGCCCACTGCCGAAAATAGATCTCCCCCATAGATTACCTTAGTTTTTATTGAATAAGGGTGACAAACGAGCACACAGTCCACCTGATGGTAAGTGGTGGCTGCGGCCCATAGACATCTACATGTATCCTCGATTACGAATCAAAATGCAGATGCGTTGTCACCTCTGCGGACTATGGTGGAATGCTTCGTTTCCAGTAAAAAGGGTCTCCGATTCTCTACACTCACTATACGAAACCCAGCAGCATTTAAGTGCTGTTTTACGCCGGTATTCTACGACAGCGTGGTCCTTCCCAGGTCAAGCCGACCCATTCGTGCAAACACAATGTAGCTGTAGCATTGCTCTACCAAGTAAAAAGGGAGCATTTTAAAGGAGTATTATAAAAGGGAGCATTTAAAGGTTACCCCTTTAAATGTTGCCACGTTTAGCAGACGGGTTGGCAGCCACACATTTTTATTATTTTCAATTGTTTTCAGGACGGTACCTACTACTGGCCATCTCAGTTTTAGTTTCCCTTTTGTCGCGTGTTATGAACCCCATGGGATAATTTGGGGTAGTACGTTGTCTTACGTCGCTACTACACGTCGTTAAGCATTCATAAAAATGCGCTTTAGGATATATATATATACTTATTAAGTAGGTATAGATTTCGATACTTTCTGAATTGAACTGAAATGAACATTTATTTGTGCGTTTTATTTTTAGTGAAATCTGAAACTGTATAAATCCATAGATTAGGTATATGACATACAGATAACAAAGTACTTATAATATTTGAAGTTACTTACATCGAGAGGGTTTTCCCAAGAGAATAGGGCCTGCTAAAGTTTTTCACGGTACACATTGTGTTCTGAACCCTCACTAAAATGTTCAGACTCGAAAGTTTTTGGGATAGCTCTTCTTCTAGATCAAAACTGCTGCACGAACTTGGTATGCAAATACCCCATAATAAGCTGGAATACCGTGGTACCCGATGACCCATCTGGAAAAGAGATACCATTTTATTCATGCATATTTAAGTAGGTATATATACAAAATGCTATCTACTAAAATCATAACACTATCTTTTCTATTCCTGTATATATAAAAATCAATAGCTGTCCGTTAGTCTCGCTAATTTTCGTAAACGGCTCGAACGATTTTGATGAATTTTTTTGTGTGCGTTTGAGTGGATCTTTGGATCGTTTAGATTTACAATTGGACTCGGTAGGTGGCGCTGTTGTCGAAATCCAGAAATCACCAATTATTAGGAGATAAAAATTAAATTGTCGTTTAGTCTAACTAGATCGATGTTTTTGCATACCGCAATATATTATAATGATAATATTTTTATAAGATTTAACGACTGACATGACAAGAAAAACTCTTGAAACATTTTTGCTTTAAATTTATCATATAGTAATTATTATTATTTTAAAAGCAGATCACGTGCTGCGTACTTATAATTGGCAACTTGCGTAATGTACCTAAAAGGTTACTGACATCTAGCGAGAAAGACTTTATTTAATTAATTAACTGTCTACCTTCTTAGTTGTTAACAGTTTTGATTTGAGTATTTTTATCATTATTTATTTTGGCAATGGGTTCAAAGATTTTAGACAAAAAATACATTAAACAACATATTATTTCCCCGTTTAGATAAAGGTACGTCGGCAGAAGGCGTCCTGCGCGTCGTGGAAGAACAAAGACGATGCCACATAGAGAATCCAATGTCTATACATAGGTATGCAGCGTCTGGAATAAACGTTAACGAATTTAAAACTTTACATATTCTAGGTTCATGCAAAACACAAAGAGAGATTTTTCGCTCCAGATTTCTAACTCTCTGAGGTAGTACGCCGCCGTAACAGAGACGCGCCAGAAGAGGAAAGCTCCCAAATTAGTGTTAAAACATGTTTTTGTTTTTATCCCATTTTAGGTTAAGGTATACACAGCTATTGGAATTTATACCGCTTAATTTTTAAGACCATTCTTAATTTTTTAGTCCTTAATTCCTGAAGATATTGCATTGTATATAAATTAAATTAAAAGTATATAATTTGATCCATAATATTTTGATTGACGACATCGAGCAGATAGTTGACGACTATAGTACATCAGGACGCCACAGCAAATAAAATAACTTGAGAATAATTAGATCACCATCAGAGCACTTATTTCATTGTATCCACTAAAATCTCACTCGCGTAATAATTTTATACATTATATCTATCAATCACTAATAAAAGACTAGATACACAATCCCATGCAAAAGTTCTCTAAATACTGTCGCCAATTGTTTTGAGGTAATTCTAAATTTAATATAAATTCAAAAAGTTGTATTCACAAAGCTACGTACAAATTAAAAGCGCACCCAAATGTTCGAGTGGACGCTCATTCGGTAAGGACATTTTTTGTCACTCATTATGTATCTAGTTTTTTTATTAGTGATTAATGATTATATCCCACCGAAATCCACTTATTAAAACCAGCCATGATCTAAACGATACACGAGCGAATACGAAAATAAGACCAGCAGTCCGTCGGTCAAGGGCGGATCCAGCTTTGGCGCCAGGAGGGGGTCACATAGCCGTGGTCAAGTTAAGAACTTATAATTTAATTTTGATAACAATAGATACAAGTAAAAAGTAGGTATTTTATTAATGTACGTAAGTACTGTACTTAAAATATTTATTCTTTATTGCACACTTGAAAAACTTAACACATAATAACTTGTACATATACACGTACATATTGCCATCTTCTCTTGAAGACATCCAGAGAAGCACTATCACGCACGGAATGAGGCAGCCTGTTTATATTCCATAACCGTGGTGAATGATTTGTCATAACAGCTAGAAGAGGTATGTCGAGGGGTATGACGCAAAATTCCGCAAAAGTGAAGAGGTGGTACGACAAGGGTTTCCAACAAACAAAATAGAAACAGACATTTTGATTACGAACGGCGTCGGTAATCAACACGTCCGCTCAAACTCTTGAGATGTTTATGTTATTTATGCATCGTTACACATGCTGTAGCTATATAATGGTTGTAGTACGAATGGCTCGCCTCGACCGGGGAAAGACAATGCTATCACAGAATACCAGAGTAAAATATTAGCTTAATGCTGCTGTGTTTCGTATGGTGAGCGTAGAGATCCGGAGACACTTTTTACTGAAAACGAGGCTTTCTATCTTAGTTCTCAGGTAACAGACAACACAACATCTGCATTTTGATTCATAATCGAGGATAAATGTAGATGTCTATAAGCAACATCACTCACTTACCATTGTGTGTGCTAGTTCGTTACCGTTATTCTATTAAAATACTAAATTTTCAATTTTCATATATCATTATGAACAAACAATCTATGTTTGTTCATAATGGTATATCAACAAACATATATTCCCTATGTTTATGTTGCTTTCCTTAATAAGAAATTTACAACAAACAACACAATTGATATAGAATGAGTTCCTTTCCTTAAATAGAAATGTACATTATTTATTTATTTATTCTTTATTGCATTCCTTAATCTAAAAGAATACAAAGGGCGGACTTAATGTCTTGTAGCATTCTCTACCAGTCAACCCATGGAGTGGTGAGAATTTGAAGTACTTAGGTGTAGCAATATAGAATAAAAACTAAAAGAATTGATAATTAATTACGTTATATATACATTTAACTAATATATACAATAAATAAACTATAAAAATATATCCTATTCATACATGTATACAAATATATACGTACATACATAAGCATACATATATTCATATCAACATACATATACAAATAGTACATATAACTATAAATATATACGTCTAAAAATATAAATGACATGGATGATTCATGTAAGAAGTGTTGTCTTTAATAGATGATTACGCACCAACTTTTTAAAAGCAAACTTATTGGGAGCTTTTCTGATGTCGTCAGGCAAGGAGTTCCAAAGGCGTGTAGGCTGAACTGTAAAGGAGTTACCATAGAACTCGGTGAAGTGAACTGGAATACATATTTTGTTGTTAGAAGAAGAACGTAGAACCCTATCATGACATGAGGAGAGAGAAGGCGAAAATGGGTCATTTAATATGGAAAAAAGAACAAGTAATATTCTGGAAATACGCCTCTGCCGGATTGTAAGTCAATTAAGCTTAGATCTATATTGCGAAATATGGTCATACTTATGAAGCCCGAAAATAAATTTTATACAGTTATTGAGAAGGCGTTCCAGCTTGTTTAGAAGATCCGGGGACAGATACCGGGACAGATCCGGGTAACTCACATCTGCATAATCAATTATGGGTAATATGAGCGATTGGCCAAGCATGATCTTAGACTTTGTGGGGAGAAAATGTTTTAAACGATACAGAGAACGTAACGTGGCAGTGACTTTACGACTGACTTCAGTAACCTGAGTTCTCCAATTCAGCATGCTGTCAATGTGTAGGCCAAGACTTTTTACAGACTTACTGAACCGTATTGTAATCCCATTGTAATAGATAGGGGGTGTGTCTGCAAGATTAATCTTGGCTAACATCCTTGAGCTACCCACCAGTATAGAGCTTGGCATTTCGAAGGATTGACCAACACTCCACAACGAGTAGACCAATCCTTGATAGCTGCTAAATAATTTATCCGAAATTTTTAAATTTTTTTTCACAGTCTGTATTTCTGGTTTCATTCTTTAGGAGACTCGGGTACAGAGATAATCATAATATGACATGGTTTACAGAATATTTTGGTTTGTGTTTTAGAGGTACTTACAATATTTTTTGTGATAGTCGATGTGATATTTAATTTATTAATAACGAAATTAAAGACTGATATTTTTTACATTCATAACTTTCTACAATAAATACGAATTACATCGAAATCGTTTACATCTACCATATCTGTAAGCAGTAGCAATAAGTAGTTCACTTTCTTGCATTTGTATAGTAATAGTTTGGTTGTGGTTTATGAGAATCCATCAACTCATTTCTCCCCGTGAATATCGTAAGTGGCAGATAAGGCCAATACTACAAAAATATCATAGCATCCGATAAATTACGGTTACTATCGACGAAAAATACCCGGACCGTCGACGGACAGCAGTATTAAAGATGCAAGAGGTCTGGCACTGCACTGCCAAAGATTAACACTCAACAAAAATATCCCTATGAAAGATTTAGTAGATTCAGAGTATTAAAATATCTCATATGCTAGAACCTCAGAAAAGAGAAGAAAATGTTGTTTCTATAACATTTAGAGCAGGTATAGCATAAATGTAGCTCACAGCTAAGCAACTGAACTTAGCAGTAAACTATAGCCATAGCAGCGATCACAAAATATCTTATAGGACATTATGATACTGGGCTTTCTAGACTTGCATAGATGCTTGCACAAATTAAAAAAGAACGTAAATGTTTTTATTTTTACATCCATAATAACTTATTTTTGTAAACCTAACACGATGATAAAAATTATGTTATATTGTGTTTTTTAATATATTATATGATACTAGCTTTTATTCGAGGCTCAGCTCGAGCTTAATTATAAGTTGACAATGTTTTTATTAAATCAACTAAAATTTGTAGAACGATTAACTGCAATACACTTCTATATACTACTTTAAATGATTTGATATTAAAATTATTTTCACTCAGCGAAACCTTGCAGATTTTGGGCCCAATTGTTATATATCTTTTTCTGGGTTGTGAGCTATGTTATTGAAAAGTTTCATTAAAATCATTTCAGTAGTAGTTGTGCGTTTGAACCCTATACATAAAAACAACCGAATGTCCAAACAAACTTTCACATTTATAATATTAGTGGGCCTCACAAGATAGTAGGATTGAATTACCAGCTTTGCGAGTTCCCACAAAGCCATGCTTTTAGCTGGTTTTAATAATTATGAGATCCCAAATAGGTGATACCACCCAGCCATTTTCTCTATTGAAGTTAGTATGTTTATATTATTTCCATAACTTTAAGTATCATCCTTGGAATCTGTGTTTTTTGCT